ACACACACACACACACACACACACACACACACACACGCACGCACACACACACACGCACGCACGCACACACACGCACACACACACACACAGGGCAACGCACCGAAAGGTGGTACTTGTAGGAGGCTGGGCGGTCGGTGATGTGTTTGGGCGTGACCGTGTCACCGATGCACGCGCCAGCAACGCAGCGGTCGTTGAGGGTCTTGGGGTTGCCGTCGTCACACGTGGAGTTCTCGGGCTTTGTTGGATACGTGCACACGCCAAACTCGCACGTCGGCTCGCCCTGGCAGGTGTTGGGCGGGGCGCACGTGGTCTCCGTACAGCCGTGGTCCCCTGTTGGCGTGCGGGTGATCTCGTAGCCGATGATGTCGCCGTTGCTGCCCGGTGTGCTGGCGCTCATGGCGTCCCAGGAGAGGTTGAAGGCCGTGGCAGAGGTGTCGTCCACGCTGAGGCCCGTCGGTGCAACCGTGGGCAGGTTCGGGCGCGTTTTGTCCGTGGTCATGAAGGAAGCGGTGCTGCGGTCGCCGTCCAGGCCAATCGTGTACACGAGCACGACGTACTCCGTGTTTGGGGTGAGGCCCGTGATGGACGCCGTGAACTGCTCGTCGGGCGAGTCACCGTCCTGCCACTGCTTGGGGAAGCGGACGGTCACCACTTCGTCCGTGGTGCTGCCCGGCACGGGCGTGGCCACGAGGTCAAAGCCGATGGCGGGCGCGTTGCGGAACCAGATGCCTGCAGGCACGGTCCACTGCACGATGACCTCGTCCGCGTCTGGCGGATAGGTCATCGGGTCCACAGGTGGGAGGGACGTGGTCACGGAGCGCGGCTGGCCGGGCGGGATACTGTTTGGCGGGTCGACGGAGAGCATGGCAAAGGGGCCAAAGCCCTCGGCATTCTTGACGGCGACGCCGACATCGTAGCCAGAGAACGGGAACGAGAGCTCGTCGGCCAGGGTGTAGGAGAAGGTGCTCGAGGACACCTCCACGTCCGTGGCGTTGAGGGTGGCGTTGCCATAGGCCCACGTCGGGGGCTGTGGAGCGGTGGGGCGGATGCGGATCACATAACCGGTGATGGCGCCGTTGGTCGTGCCGGGGTCAGGGGCCTCCCACGAAACGGCAAACGCGCCACCAGGTGTGGGCGTGGTCGTCGGGTTCCTCGGGGGAGCAGACGGAACCTGCGTGTGTGCAGGAGGGGGGGGGGTGGAACAGCAAACCCAAAAACACGGCAAATACGATGATGAAAAAACGCGTGGTGTTTGTGGAGGGTTGAGGCTTGAAGGGTGGGAACAAGGACATGAGAAGGACACAAAACGCACACACACACACACACACACACACACACACACACACACACACACACACACACACACACACACACACACACACAGGCAAACAAAGCAGCAACGAGCACATCGCAGGCATCGTTGAAACGCACTTCTCGGCGGAAGCGGAAGTGGGAAGCGCTGGCAAAAGAGTGAATCACAACCAAGTGGGATGGAATGAGTGGTTGGCATCGCAACGTTCAATACAAAGCAAGACAAGAACGCATGGTGTGACCGTGATAGTTGAGGCAACCCAGGGACAGTCCAAAATGGCACATGTTGAACCCAATACATGGCACGGTGGTTCATACACAAGCTTCACAAGCTTTTCCCTCGCTGTGTTACAGTACAGTGACGACTGACTGTCGGACTCACTGACCTCTTGGCTTCGTGGATGGGTGAGGCAAGGACGGTGGCGGTTGCAGCAAGCGCAGCTATGAGTGTGGCTTGCAGAAGGAGCCCAGAGGGCAGCCGCCTCTGCACCAGCGGCGGCAGCATCGCGGCGCACTGGTGGCGCGTGTGGACGCTTCAAGCGAGCGAGAGAACCGGAAGGAAGGAGCAAAGGAAGGAAGCACACGCTGAGGTGGATGGGTGGCGAGCCAGAAGAGAAAGACAGTCTTGTCGACACAAAGAAGGGAAGAAAGAAGGATGAGGAAGAAAAATGCTGCGGCTGTGCTGGTGGGCTGCGTCGCTGCTGTGTGTTTGTTTTGGTTTGCTGTGTGCCTCTGCGGTGTTTTGCGCGGGCGCGGTTGTCGGCTCACTGCTGGCGTTGTTGGATTGCGTGCTGCAACACCACCGAAAAGATGCCGCTGCGAACCATCGCAGCGTTCACGCTTGTTTCTTGTGGCTTCAGCTTGTTGTCCCCCCCCCCCCCCCGCTCCGCCTGTCCTTGTTTTGTTGTTGTTGCTTCTGCGTTCACGGCAGAAGAAGAAACAACAACAGCAGCACAACCACCCTGCATCGTCGTCATGTCATAAGATCGTTGGAGGCCGGCACTGGCGGGGCAAACCAAAACAAAACAAACACAAACAAACAACGCAAGGACACCCAAGAAAGGCAAGCAAGCGAGTCGTGCTGTGGGGGGAAAACAAACAAAAGAACAAACCACTCTCATGGACCCAAAGTGTTGCTTGATAAAACTTCTGGGGAAACACCATAGCTCTTGCAGGGAAAGCAGCGGGAACGTCTGCAAGAGCAATGGTTGTGGACGACCATTGATTGCTCATGGATGTTTGGCGGTTGTGGCTGTTGCTGGGTTGGGTGCAACTGTAGGAGCATCAAGGCAATTGCGTTGCTGGGGCCATCTGCTGGGAAGACACCTGTGTCGTGACAGCTGTTGCGTTCGCGTTTGCGTGGGTGGCGAAGAAGGCCCGAAGGCGGGGCAATGCGCGTGCACGAAACGCATTTTTGGCGTTTGTGTTTTTCTCCGTACCATCCTGCGATATCACCAAACGATAGTTGGCTGGCGATATCGCGAAAATGGCATCACAAGTAACACACAGCACAAGCTGTAGTTGGCATGCGCGACAAGCGACATGCGGAAATACTTAGAGCTTCGATGACTCATCACTGTTTTGGAGCAGCACAACAACCAAACACAACGTGCGCGACAGCACCTGCTCATGCGCATCCACCTGCACCATCATCATCATCCATCGTCAGTGCACCTTCGTCTACCCCTATCATCAGCCTCAACTTCATCCTGCCTCAGCCTCATTCTCAGCATCAGTGTCCTCGCCACCGTTAACATCACTGACCACGTGCCAGTGTCGTTGGTTCTTTTATTCGATACGTCACCGCCACACACCCGACACTACTGCGCGGTGCCGTGATGAACATGAAACCGACGTCGCTTTCGCTTGGCGTTCTGTTGCTTGGCGTGCTCGTTGTTGTGAGCACCACCAGCACTGTGTGCTCGGCCTTGCTTCAGCACAACCTGCCAAGGCCAGAGGATATCTTGTCAGGCAACAAGAAGGGCATGGGCAGCAATGACGAAGACACAAAGGGGAAAAACCTGCCTCCACTCATCTTCATTCCTGGTCTCACCTCCTCAACCATTGATGCGGAGCTCCACAACGCCCCGTCCGTCGCCTGCCCTTCCACCACCACCTCGCGGTACGGCGCATTGCGCGCTTGTGTGTGTGTGTGTGTGTGTGTGTGTGTGTGTGTGTGTGTGTGTGTGTGTGTGTGTGCGTGCGTGCGTGTGTGTGTGCGTGCGTGCGTGTGTGTGTGTGTGTGTAGGCGCGTTTTCGCGTGTGTGAGTGTGTCAGTGTGAGCGAGTGTGTTGGTGTGTGTGAGTGGGAGACCCTGTATATTGTAGGGGCGCGAGAGGGGAGGGGATCGTAGGACACAAAAAAACCAGCGGGGGATAAATGAACGGAAACGGGCCCCCACCCGCCCCCGAGCAAGGCAACCCCCTGAGCAGCCAAGAATAA